ACTAGTTTAGTGACTATTACGGTGATTACCCAAAAAAGAGTAACAAACAATGACCATCCTTCACGGTGAATATCCAACTCGGTAATTATTCAGGAAAGACGGAGTGGCTTAGTGACTAAACATTACAGTAAATACCCAATAATACTACTAACAGAACTATTTAGGAGAAGTACCGCCTGCTTTAGTGACTAAACATTACAGCAAATACCCAATAACAGAACTATTTAGGAGAAGTACAGTCTGCTTTAGTGACTAACCAGTTCGGTGAATAAACACCACAACACGTATCGAGGGAAAGACAACCGTCGGGTTAAGTGACGAACAATTTCGCCGAATATCCAGTACAGTAAATATGTAATAAAATAATTACTGAGGAAAACCACAGTCCAGGTCATGATATTATCTAACAAAAGCAGTACCCGTTCTCTCGTCGTGTGGTTTGTTCGCCAGGTCGCGCTCGGCGTCCGACCGGCCGTTAATTCCACGAGACTTTCCGACTTCCGCTGCTCGGTGACGCACTTCCGCTTCTTCTCCCCCCTCCCCTCCCGAGACTCGTGCGCGCGGGCGCAGGTGGATGAAAATGGCCGCTCGGGGCGGTAACGGGGAGGTTTAAAAAGCACAACAACAACAACACTGAAGTTTCATTCCCGTTTTCTAACGGCACCACACACCCCGACAGTCCCTCCCCACCACCCCTCACCTTCACACGGCCCGTGTCCCTCCTCCCTGCATCACAGTCCCGCTTAAGGGAGATGAGTCTCGAGTTAAACATATTTTTTCGCTTTCCGTCGCTCTTTTCGGGAACAAACCTACGACGAAAACCATGAAAAAAAAAACCCGGTGCTCGTCCGTCGTGTGAATATTCTTGAGAACGAGAGTCGCTGGATATTCAAAACAGCGGCTGTCTGTTGTAGAGACCACACGAAAACGACCGATTTCTGGGGAAAATTAGACAAAAGCTTGTTTGTTTGGTTGGTGGGTGAAAACAAAGTACGGAGAATCTTTGTCTCAAAACAACGCCGACCAAATGAAGCTCACTGCACACAAATGATACCGGTGTTGAACAAAAATCACAGTCCCTCCATCAGAAATACAGTCTATTAACGGTTATTATTTATTCAAACTTTGCCCTACATGTACGATCACACCTACATAAACACAGTTGAATGATCCCTGCATCAGAAATACAGTCTATGATGGGAATTATTTATTCCAACTTTGACGAAGGTGATGCTATAAGCACATCAGCAGGTGCAGGTGAATTCAAGTCAGATAAACCCAGGCTGTAGGACAGAGACCCGCAGACCAGCCACTGCCTGTCCTCTCAGTGAAAGAGACCACAAACCACAACTACAACTCGGTCACCACTGCAGTAAGAAGCCAAGCAGGTTTATTCATCAGGGTGTGGGGTTACAAAGAGAAAACTCTGACTTCAGACAAGACCCGACGCTCAGGTGTCAGATACTGAGTGTTGAAAACGTGTCTCCATTCCCAGATCACAAATTACAAGTCTCACCGTCTCACAGTGATAAGGAATCACTCACTAACAACATAAGACCACTGCAAAATATTATATGAAATAAAATTCCAAGTCCCCCCACCAAAAAAATCAGTTATAATATTTTTCACATCACATGAGGAACCATGACTTAGGAGATGCCAGGCTGCTGGTCTTCCAGATGTGTCGCTGGTGTGACAATCAGGACTCACAGTGCTCAGCCTACAAGAGAAACACTGAGAGTCAGACAGGGGCGTGTCGCTGGTGTGTGA